GGGAAACTACCGCGCGGGGGAGAAAGCGGCAGTTGGCACGCCGCTTCGCGCGCGCCTATAAAATCCCGCGCGCTGCACACTGCCACGTGCCCTCCTCCTTGCCACCTCGCCGCTTTTTCTCGCCGCTTTGCCGCTTTCCCCGCCAGCACCGCGCCACCATGCCGCCGCGCCGCCGGGGTTCTTCGGGCTACCGCGGTGTCCGCGAGCGCCCCAACAGCCGGTAGTCCATTGAGATCCGATCCGGCGATGTCCGGCTCGGCCTCGGCTTGTTCCGGAGCATGCACGAGGCGACCCGCGCGTACGACGCGGCGGCGTGGCGCTTGGACAGGCCCCGGTCGCAGATGAACTTCCGCGACATCTTCACACGCGAGCAGGCGCAGTGCTTCGCCCCTCCGCCGCGTCTCATCACCGACCAGGACCGTACGGACCACGTGCGGCAGCAGCGCCGCCTCCTCATCACCGAGGAGGACGAGGGAGCCATGGCAGAGTGGCGCCGTCGCCACCCGGAGGACGTCGTCGCCGAGAACGAGTTCTGGGCAGAGAGGACGGCAAGGCGCCTCGCGGAGCGTGCCGACAGGCATCGGCGCAAGGCACTGGAGATATCGCAGTGTGATATTGTTGAGAACGACGGGTAGTCGATCTTCTCCCCCAACGATCTGCATTGGGAAGACATATGGCTCAATACCTCAGACAACACCACCGAGGATGATGATGGCGGCTGGGAGTCACCGTAGTTTGTCTCATTGCACCGTAGTTTCTATCTAGTTGCACCGTAGTTCTATCTATCTATGCTTTCGAACGATGTAAAATACTTGTGTATGCTTTTTTTATCTATGCTATGAACTATGTATCGTATTTTATCTATGCTAGAACTATGTATCGTATTTTATCTATGCAAAGTTTTCATAAAAAAATGTTGTAGCATGACCACGCGCGCTGCATTTTAGCGTGCCTGCTGGAGCTGCGCACGCGCTGCGTTTTAGCGCGGCCGCTGGAGCCAGCGCTGCGTGCCGCGCCAAACCAGACGATGGGCATGCGGCAAAGTAGTTTTTAGCGTTCGACGACTGTTGGAGATGCTCTAAGAGCATGTCTAGTAGAACCCTCAAACCCTCAAACCCTTAAAGTAGTTTTAAGGGTTGAGAAGTGCCAGTTTTTGGCACATTTAAGGATTGAAAAACAGGGGCAAAGACTAGAAACCTCAAACCCAACCCTTAAACTGCTTTAAGGGTTGGATTTGAGGGTTCTAGTCTTTGCCTCAACCCCAACCTTTAAAACTGTCATTTCATATATCACAAATTCCATCACATTTCATCATATGACATATCACAAATTCCATCACATTTAACATAAAACAATAATCATTCTAGTTATTATTACACCACCGAATAAAACAATAATCATTCAAATTATTACAACAATGTTTGAGAAAATTACAATAATTGTTTGAATCAAATAGGACATATAAAATTAAAACAAAGATACATCATGGCCCAATGCGCCGCCCATCCAACTGCCAGTGGTGCTCTACTAGATCATCCCGGAGCTGACCATGAGTGGTTGCATCCTCAATCTCACGATGTGCTTGAAGAAAAGCGTGTATGCGAGAAGGGTTTCTTTCCGGTTGCACATGGGTACCAACATTGTCATAGAAACAAGGGAGGTTTAACCCTCTCTCATCCTCTAGGATCATGTTGTGTAGAATCACAAAACATTTCATGATGTTCACCAAGTTTTTTTTGTCCCAAAACCGAGCTGGACCCCGAACTATGGCAAACCTTGCTTGCAAAACACCGAAAGCTCTCTCAATATCCTTGCGGGATGCCTCTTATGCCTTGGTGAAATGAGCCTCTTTTCTTGTTAAGGGCACCCCATTTTTCTCCTTGATGGACTTCACAAGAGTTTCCCATTCGGGATAGATGCCATCGGTGAGATAGTATCCCATTGAGTACTCATTGTCCATGATTTTGTAGTTGCAAGCTAGAGCATCCCCAGAAATTAATCTTTTGAACAAATGAGATCTATTGAGGACATCGATATCATTGAGTGTTCCCGGCAACCCAAAGAATGCATGCCAAATCCATGTGTCCTCTGATGCTACGGCCTCAAGCACAATGGTAGCATCACGGCTTTTACCGCAATACATTCCGTGCCATGCCTTTGGGAAAAAATTTCACCTCCAATGCATGCAATCAAGACTACCAAGCATCCCCGGCCATCCCCTTTTTTCATTCATTTCCATTAATCTCTTTGTATCTTCCTCGTTTGGTGCCCGAAGATACTGCTCACCATACAATCGGATGACCAACTTGGCAAACCTACAGACGGACTCCGTGGTTGTATCTTGCCCAATGCGAAGATACTGGTTGGTATAATCCACGGGTATGCCATAAGCGAGTACCCGCATTGCCGCCGATATCTTTTGATATGCACTAAACCCCATGATACCGGCGGCGTTTCTGCGACGTTTAAAGTAATAGGAGGCGGCCTCACAATCGATGACAATCTTCACAAACAAACTACGACGCATTCAGTACCTTCTGCGGAAGAGACGAGGAGGGTATGTAGGTACCTCCGCGAAGTAGTCTTGCATCAAATGCTCGTGTCCGAGAGCGCGGTTCCGGTAGATGGTGAGTCGCCCCATCTTCGACGCTCTCCTCTGATCCATAAGCTTCACGCTGTCTTCAAACGCTTGCACGTCGACGAGGAGGCTCATCATCGAGACGTCATCGTCTTGCAACAACTCGTCGATGTCCGAATCGCCGGATGACGACCAACCCGACGAATCGGACAACGAGTCCATGTCGTCGTTGTTCACCTCCATCTACACAATACAACAAATAATAAATTGTGAGTACCAACAATGAATCAGAAAGTAAAAAATGAAACAAAAAGAAAGAAAAGGAGGCATACCCGCGGGGAGCTCGGGGCGGCGCGGCTGCCTCTGGCCCGCCTGGCC